AGTAAAGTAGCAGGATACAAAATAAATATTCAGAAATCAGGTGCAATTTTACACACCAATAATGAACTATCAGAAAAAGAAACTAAGAAAATAATCCCATATACAATTTAACACAGACACAAAAAGAAATACCTAGGAATAAATTTAACAAAGCAGATAAAAGATCTAAATTTGGAAAAATATAAGACACTGAAGAAAGAAATCAGAGAAGATACTAATAAATAGAAGCATATGCTATGCTCATGGATAGAAATAATGAACACCATTGTGAGACATGCTGGAATCAGCTAATAAATGATTCTCTCATCATTGGTGTTTCTATCTCTCTCTCTCCCTCTCCCTTCCTCTTTGAAATCAATACAAATGTAAAAATAAATAAATAAATAAAATAAGACCTTTCTCATCCATGAAGTTAGAGAATTCAGAAAGGTAGAAGAATGGGCTGAGTATGATCCATGTCTGAAAAAAATAGCAACAGTTACATTTAGAAAAATGTGAAAGGAAAAACAATTTCATAATGGTATTAAGGCTTAATTAAATTTAGCCTGAAATATATTAGGCCTAAAATAAATTAAAACAAAACAATGCCCCCCTACTTTTTTTTTTCTTTTTCAGCTCTTTTACTTGGACATCTTAAAAGTATGGCTAACTAAACTTTTCTTAAGAAAGAATTTGGAGGTTACCATCATTTAAAAAAAATTTTTAAGGGAAACAGAAGCATTGAGAAATTAGATCATAAGGCTCCTAATTCTTTAGCTGAAGCTCAACAGCTTATCAGTAGCCAAGAGCTTGCTTGGAAATTTGGTGTCAGATTCCAATTCTAGCACTAAAATTTCTCATGAGCAACAAGAAGGAAGAGAACAGTACTTATACAGTTGTTAACGAAGATTAAAAAAGAAACTATGTAAAGTATTTGATACTTAGGAAGCATTCACTAAATAGTAGCCAAGCATTCACTAAATAGTAACCAGAACGATTGGTCACTATGACACACACTGAACAGGGACTGACGATTAAAAGAGAAACTATGTAAAGTGCTTGACACTTAGGAAGCATTCACTAAATAGTAGCCATTGTTATTATCACAATTTTAAGACCATTATTGATATAGTTCATAGGAATAAACTTTTTACTAAAAGAATTACCTCCTGGGACTTGCACATCATAGAGAAAATATCAAGACTAACTATCTCCTTGGGGACTCAGACCCATTGGGGTAGGTAAGTCAGAATTCTAAACTTTCTTGTACTGTCTTCATATAACTTTTTAAATTTTCCTGTATAATTATTTAGGCTTTCTGAAAAGTCATTAACTTTTTTCTTTTCCCCATTAAATATCATAATAATTAACACTTTAAAGTTGCAAGAGGACAGTCACATAAATTTTCTCATTTGATATTCAAAACCTTGGGAGATAGATATTGTGATAAGTTTATACCCAATTAAATATGAGGAATTGACTATGGGAGATGCCCAAGGTGACACAGGTAGTAAGAGATGGTATTGAAATCCTTAGGGGGTTCATAAAGAGAGCCCACACACCTCTCTGCAGTACTGGTTCCTCCCAGGGGCTCTTGGCCACCCAAAGGAATCATTTCTATGGATGGAATTTCAGACCTGATGACCTCGTGAAAGAAATTTAGGGGACTGAGTGGGCTTTGCCAGCATCCCCACAAAGAACACTACTGTAGTGAATTCATCTATACTGACTATTCCTAAAGCCAGCCCTGTCAGCACATCCCCTGTGAGCTGCATTTCCCTTGCTCAGGGATCCTTGTCTTTAGTTCCAGGAGTATCAGAAGAATTACAGAAATCTTTATCCCCCACTTTTCTCTAGTGAGCATTTTGTAGAGTTATCTCCCCAAATTAGGAGAGTAACAGATGGAAGATGGACAGGACCTTTTCCCTGACCTTTTAGTGGGAGACAGACAGTTTGGTGACACTGCAGTGGGAAATCTGTTGCTAGAAGTTCTTTGGGAATAAACCATCAGGTGGTACCTAGAACCTATTTAATCGTTAAAAAATAAATGCCAGATATTGTATATTTAGTCTTCTGTTTGAGTTAACTTATAACCATTGATGGTTTAACTAGATTATCTATACATATAAAAGGCTAAGCAACCAGCTGACCAGCCGACAGCTATGATGCACACTGACCACCAGGGGGCAGATGCTCAACACAGGAGCTGCCTAGTGACAGCAACTTTGCCGTGTCCTCTTGCAATCCAGGACTCTTTGGGAAATGTTGGAGAGCCAGATTTGGCCCAATCCCTGCAGGCCAGGCAGAGGGACCCCACCTGCCCAAGGGACTCCCTCACTCCACAGATGACCTTTGAGCCCCAGCACCACCCCAGGTGTGGCCTGGAGGGGGAAACCATGGGAGGCTGGCTCCAGGGCATGTCCGGCCTGTCTCACCCAGACCCACCCCGCTGGCCACCTTCTAATTAAATTTCAATGTGCACAAATCTGTGCACTAGGCCTCTAGTTTTTTTTCATAAAAGTATTTTTTAACTAGATTAATTACTGAAGAAGTTACAAAGCTCCCCCCAATCTGATGTCTGAACCAACTGAAATAAACAATTAGTCCCTACCTTCTACTTATTTTCAGGCATGCTCCCAGAGGGATTTGTTCTGTTGACATGACTCTTAATTATAATACATTTCTTTATAATCCATTTACATTCAACTTCATTACAAAATGAATGCACTGGCTTTAAGAAAAATGAGTCCTGCCCAAGGTTTGGTCATATTTACATCCCACTACTAATTATCAGCAAAAGCATAAAAGGGACAGAGTTAGGGCTTTTATATTCTACTACTTCCCTCAGAAGAACCCCTCTGGAGCTGTCTTATTCAAGAGATCTAAATTGAAGCTAGGTTCCTCTGGGCTTGCTTTATTTCTTTGTCTCTGATCTTCAGTGAAAAACCGAACAAGTATGCATTTTGGAGGTAACTCGAGGAAAGAAAAATGGTTTGGAAAACCAGATAGTCCAAGCTTGAAACCTAGCTCTATTTACACACAGGTGTGTGCCAGTAATTTTACTGCAAGTAAACTCTGAGCCTCAGTTTACTTGCAGTAAAATATTGGATAATGATGTCTTCCTTGTGGAATTATTAGAGAATTGCAATTAGATAATGTTTGAAAGCACTTGGACTGTGGTAAGCACTCAATAAATTCTACTTAGTAATAAATTCTAGTCATGGTATCCCTACCATTGTCAGATCTCTAGGGTTTATATTAATTTTTTAAAAAAAAAAAGTGCACTAACTGAAAACATTTTCACTGCAAAACAAGTGGTTTTCTTTTAGCATTTGTAGACGAAAGAGGAATCAACATGCATGATTATTGCACTGGTAAGAACCCGATTTTCAACAGTGTCACGGATGTATTGAAACAATCCAGTGAAAATAAAACAATGACTGTGTAGTTTTCATTAGATTCTTAAAAGATTTCAAAAATAAAGTGTAAAACCAAGAAAAAGAACATGGAAGTGAAAACTGGTCTGTGACCATGGCAACAACTAAAGGGACATTAAGTACAAAGATCATGTTTATTCCCAAAGAACTTCTAGCAACAGATTTCCCACCGCAGTTTCACCAAACTGTCTGTCTCCCACCAAAAGGTCAGGGTACCGGGAAAAGGACCTGCCCATCTTCCATCTGTTACTCTCCTAATTTGGGGAGATAACTCTACAAAATGTTCACTAGAGAAAAGTGGGGGATAAAGATTTCTGTAATTCTTCTGATACTCCTGGAACTAAAGTCAAGGATCCCTGAGCAAAGGAAATGCAGCTCACAGGGGATGTGCTGATAGGGCTGGCTTTAGGAATAGTCAGTATAGATGAGTTCACGATAGTAGTGTTCTTTGTGGGGTGCTGGCAAAGCCCACCCAGTCCCCTAAATTTCTTTCACGAGGTCATCAGGTCTGAAATTCCATCCATAGAAATGATTCCTTTGGGTGGCCAAGAGCCCCTGGGGGGAACCAGTACTGCAGAGAGGTGTGTGGGCTCTCTTTATGAACCCCCTAAGGAGTTAGGTGATAATGGTTCAAGGTGACAGCTTTCTCAAGGGCACTAGTTCCTTCACAGGAGAACAAGATTGAGCCACTCACAGTTTCTGCTTTCAAGGCTAGGAAGGCCCAGATAGGATGAGAATGAGGGTAGGGAACTTAGAATTAATTCCTTGTGAGGAACAAAAGCCCCTAGAGCGAGGTCACTGGGGCAAAGTAAAGTGGAGGGGGCAGGAAGAGGCCGAAAGTGAAGCTGGGGAGAGAGAGATGGGGAGAATGCTAAAGGGAGACTTCCTCCTTTCCTTCCGCACTGTGTTGGGGGGAGTGTGGGGGGGGCGTGAAACCTCCCAGGTCGGTTTCGCTTCTTACAAGAAGGTTTGGGGCCGGGGTGTGTGTGTTGTGTGTGTGCGGGGCGGGGGAGCAGGAGTTCTCTCCAGTTCTGGAGGAGGGGGCTCACTGGGGTGGGCGAAGGCTGGGTGGGAGGTGGCCTCGGTTGGGAGGGGCGGGAGGAAAGGGGAGCCGGGAAGCAGGGAAGACGCGGGGTCCGGGCGTGGAATGCAGGTTGAGCCCGCCTCCAGCGCCCGCGGGCCCCGAGCCACCGGACCATTTCCCTGTCCGCGTGCGTAGCCGGAGATAACGAACCGAAAGCTCTGGCGCCGGGCCTGGCATCTGGCAATGGCCGGATAACGCGAGTCTGGCGGCGATGGCTTTGCGCCCTGGAAACGCGCCCTGCTGTCGGCGCGCCCACAGGGTGCGGGACAAGCGTCGTTCACTCTGCACCCTGACAGCCCTAACCCGAAGTCAGGTTCATTGTGCTCGGCGTACGAGTGAAGAAACCGGGGCTTTGAGCAGCGGTCTCACAGCCACGAGCAGCGGAGACGGGCCTGGGACCTGCGGTCTGGGGCTGGTCCCGGGGGCAAACGGTGGTGGGGCGGGAGGTGGGGGGGCGCGACCGGCGACCCCAGGGGCCTCGCCAGGGGCGCGGGGCTCACCCTTGGTGCTGTCAGGGACCTGCCGGGCTCGGGTGTCCTCTTTGTGCCGCTTCTCAGACATGATGTCTGAGCGAAGTCACTGCTGTAGCGTTGCGATCGCCGGAGACGTAGTCGGAGCCTCCAGGAATGCCCAGGGCACACCCCGGGCACCGGACTCCAGACGAAGCCACGCCCCTCCCGCAGCCGGGCCAATCAGCGCCACGTTCCGGGGAGGACACGCCCCCCAGCTCCGCCCAACCGCTCTTCCCGCGCAGACGGTGGCTGGGCGCTACCCGCTGGCCCCGGAGCCGAGGGGCCTGGCTGGCCGGCGGGGTTCGGCGTCCCCCAGGTCGGTGGTCCGGCCGGCCGAGGGGCATCTCCGGAAAGGCGGAAGGGGGTGGGGGGGAACTGTCACAAAGCTTGCGGCCCGGGTCTGAGGAGATATTGGGGAGGGGGCTGAAGGGATGGCCTGAGGAAAAGGTGCGAATAAGAAAGAGGCGGCCTTCGGGGCCCGCGAAGGAGGGAAGAAAATGGCGCCTCCCCTGGACGGGTGGGTCCGGGTGGAGGAGGGGCAGCCGGTGGGCAAAGTGAGGGCGCTGAGGCCGCCACTCGTCTGCAGGACCAAGGAGGTGAGGGAAAGGGACCCACGCGACCAGCCTCGAGGCCTGGAAGGGAACGCGAGTGAAATGCGTTTGTTCCAACAACATCCCTGGCCGCGTGCCCCTTGTTGGGTACCGTCCCCAGGGAGGGTATAGTCTGTGGACAGGCCGGTTGATCTGCTTAACAAACTAATCAAACCATTACCCGTGGCGGAGAAGGCGGTGAAGGGAACAAGGTACCCAGGGAACAGCAGGCGGCACCTTCTTTAGTTCGGGGGCGAAGGGGGCCTTTGGAAGGAGGTGGCATGGGGACCTGGTCTGCCAGGTGAGAAGGCGCCGGCCTTGAGAAGTTGCAGGTGCACGTTCTCCCCACCCTCAGGCTACCGGTTGGGTTGTGGCTGAAACCTCACGTTTGGAAGCCAGGCTGTGCTTTAGTCTCCACGAGTTGTCCTAATGCAGTTGGTCCAAAATTACCATGTCGATGTACATGGCAAGGTGCACGTTTAAAAACATTTTCTTTTGAAATAAATACCGACTCACAGGGACGTTGCAAAGGGAGGACGGAGGGGTTATGTGTATCCTCTACCTGGTTTCCCCCAATAGTTACATCAAATAGTGTACATGGAAGCCAGGAAATTGACAGTGGTGGAATAGGTATGTGTAGCTCTACACCATTTTATCACATGCATCGACTTGTATGATTACCACGGCAGTCGAGATACACAGCTGTTCCACTGCCTCAGAGATCTCCCTTGTGAAGAACTTTCTCCCTTCCTTCCTTTCTTCTTTCCTCCCTCCCTTCCTTCCTCCCTCCCTTCCTTCCTTCCTTCCTTCCTTCCTTCCTTCCTTCCTTCCTTCCTTCCTTCCTTCCTTCCTTCCTTCCTTCCTTCCTTCCTTCCAGTATTTGGCTGTATGATACCTAACACTTGGTGGTGTTTGGGTAATATAAAATGGTAGACTCTCTGGTTTTAGCTCTGGAGCCTTGTGGCTGTCTGTGGGAAGCTGGAGTACACACAATTGTGACAGGTGTTGAGAGCAACTGATCATCATTGCTCTGGGGTGCAGACTTGACTATGTGATAAAAGCCTAACGCAGAGCTCCCCATGTGACTTCCAGTCCCTTAAGGACAAAATAACTTTATATTCATGAGGGTGGAGTACAGCTTGTATTGTCACTTGGATTATAAGTCTGCTGGATAAGATAAAGAGGAGCTTGTAGTAATTTAATTGCCTTTCTTTTCTAAATCATCCTTGAGAAAGTCTACAGCTTCATTGTTTTTTTCCTACTTACCATGGAAAAGCCCCAGAGGCATGAACTTCCTGTTTATGCTGTGGTTCCAAGAAAGAGGAGCAAATGTAGTAGAGGAGAGCTTGGTTGCAAATTGTATATGGTGGGGGGAAAAAGTGTTTAACTTTTATTTTTGCTGGAAAGGAAAACTTTCCAAATGAATTTCATGTTTTTATTCCTACCTGCTACCTTGGCTCAGGTCTCTAAGCAAGCTCTAAGCAAGCATCGCTTCTGGAGAATTAGAAAAGAGGCATCTCCCTTTGGGCAAAGACTTTAGTAAACACCTGTTGGCCCTAGTTTTAGATTGCATCAATTTGGGAGCTGATTCCAGGCTCAACACTGAAAACAAGTTTTGACTTGATTTTTAAATTATTTTCAGAATGGATGAGAATTTCCAGATTTTTATTTCAAAATGCTGAATTCCACTTGCCCATGAAACTGGTGGATTCTGGCTTTCTCATGTATATTCTCTATAAATGTATTTATTAAACATACTTTAAAAAATAAATGTTAGCATATCATCCTCTCCCTTGGGGGGAATTTCTAACCTTAAAATTTCTTCTTGTAATGATTAGAAGTTAGAATGAATTTCAAAAACTTTATGCTTTAGAAACAGAGACATATAAAATTACAAATAATTTGAAGACAGAATTACTTATAACTTCTAACAGACCTATTATAATTACGGTGATTTTTTTTTTAGCTGTTATTTAAAGGCTGTTCACATATAAGTTAAAATCAGAGTACTTTATATATTCCATATTTCTCTTGTGTATTATTTTGATGTCATTACCCTAGCATATTCAGGGTATCAAATTAAGTATTGATTGATGGTGACAGTGATGACATTAAGACATGGAAATCAATTTGAAAACAGACATGCATCATGAATCCATAATTGAATAAGTCAGAAGGAAATTTAATTAGTTTTTTTTTCCCTGTGTCCACACAAGAAATGCTTTAATAAGAACAACAGGAAACTCCTTATTTATTTTTTCCTTTAAATTGTAAGTGTAGGCTGTTCTTAATACCTTAGTGAAATCAGCTAACCAGATACTTTTGAGGGGAAAGCAATACCAGCAAGTTTCATCTGTTTGTGGTATTTTCCCCAGGATGGGACTAATAAGTTTAATCTGTTTCTCTGTGTAGACTAATTTACATTTATTGTATTACAGCAGCTTTTTTGTCTTCTTAGTTCTTCTCATAAGGAAGTTACTCCAGAAGTTGAGTCATAACAAGAGTTTCACCAGAGATTTGGGCTGTGGCAGCAGATGAATTACACCACAGCATTTGGTCAGAACACTGGGAGTCCAGGTTTTCAGGTGTTATGAAAACAAAAAAGCATTACTGAAACATTGGCGGTATTTAATAGAGTTATCTATGGGAAGAATTGTATTAATTTGCTTTAATTATTAATTGGCTCAGCAAATATTTATTGAACACCTGCTATATGCCAAGCATTATTCTGGATGCTTGAGATACAGAAATGAACAAAAAAGACAAAAATTCCTGCCCTCATGGAACTTACATTTTAGTGTTCCCTTTCACATGCCTTGGTTTGCTAGGGCTTACATATCAAAGTACCACAGACTAGATGGCTTAAACAATAAAAATTTATTTTTCTTACAGTTCTGGAGGTGAGAAGCCCAAGATCAAGGTTCAGCAGAGTTGGTTTCATCTAAGGGGCCTGAAGAAGGATCTATTCCCGGCCTCTCTTGTTGACTTGTAAGTGGCCATCTTCTTCCTGTATCTCTTTATGTGTCCAAATGTCCTCTTATAAGGACACCAGTCGTATTTGATTAGGGACCACTCTAATGATCTCATTTAAACTTAAATACCTCTTATGAAACCCTATCTCCAAATACAGTCACATTCTGAGGTACTGGGGTTTAGGACTTTAACATACGAATTATGAGGGGTTTACAATTCAGCTCATATGACTTACGTGTATCCAAATCTTTGTCCTGCTTATTTTCTCATATTTGCATCTTTGAGATATGCAAATAACTTTATGCTTCCATGATAAATGTAAACATGTGACCTAAAATTATGTGTAATTATTGTTTTAAATATTTATTCATAATATATACTGAAAGAAAGTTCTTGATTAGGGAAGATTACTCTCCTTGGAATGTTGTTTAATCTATTGTCTACCATATTCTACTATTTTTGTCAAAATTATACAAATGAATAAAGGGGAAGTATGTTGGAGGAGGGATCCTCTATTCAACAGGTTATTATTCTCAGGGCACTAAAAATATATTTTCCAACATAGTATAATATATGGAAGGATAGAGAAGCTTAGATTGAAAAAGAAATTTCAAAGGTATTAGTTGAATAATTGAGGGAACCAAGAGATCTGGGTATTTCATGACAAGTAAGGAACTTGACCTCTTGTAGAAGTTGGCATTACATAGATGGCTGAAGGGCCAGTTTCCTGATCCACTGTAGCCCTCTGTATATTTGCTCTCTTTCTCTTTCCCTCTCATCTTTCACTTTTTTTATATAAAATTTTTTGTTTAATTCTCACCGGAGTATTTTTTCCCATTGATTTTTAGAGAGAGTGGAAGGGAGAAAGGGAGAGAGAGAGAGACAGAAACATTCATGTGGGAGAGACATCAATTGGTTGCATCATACATGGGCCTGACGGGGGGCCAAGTATGGAACCTGCAACCCAGGTGCATGCCCTTGACTGGGAATCAAACTCAAGACCCAAGTGCATGGGTTAATGCTTTATCCACTGAGCCATGGGTCATATTTATTTATTTATTTATTTATTTATTTATTCTTAATATATTTTATCGATCTTTTACAGAGAGGAAGAGAGAGTTAGAAACATCGATGAGAGAGAATCATCGATCGGCTGCCTCTTGTACACCTTCTACTGGGGATGTTCCCGCAACCAAAGTACATGCCCTTGACTGGAATTGAACCTGGGACCTTTCAGTCTGCAGGCCAATGCTCTATCCACTGAGCCAAACCAGTTTCGGCTGGGGGTCACTTTTTAAAAATTTTAGAGCAGTTTTCGGTTTACAATAAAATTGAGAGGAAAGGTTTCCCATGTACTCCCCATGCATGTATAGACCCCTCCATAAGGAACATTCCCTACCATTAGTAGATTATTACTATGGATAAACCTACACTGACACACTGTAATCACCCAAAGAATTCACTCTTGGTGTAGTACATTATGTGG